ACTTTGTAATTAATTCACATTTATTTTTTTGGTCTTGTAGTTGATACTACATTTTGCACCATTGCACATAACCGTGCTATGAGTGATGTATTTCACAATCATATGTTCATATGTAACTATAATATTCTTTTAGCTTTGCAAGACATTTCCAATTAATTCACATTTATTTATCGAACTCAATCTTTAGTTCAAGTTCAACTCATTTGGATTCTAAACTAAGTTCAATGATTTAATTATCTAGTTTCAAACTATTTTTAAGTTGGTTTGATTTCATCGTCACCCCTATTTATCATCTATTGGTTAAATTTTTGTAATAGAGTTATTATAACATTCATTTTATCATTCAAAATGGCCAACCAAGATAGACAACTAAGAGCACCTCTAGCAGGGGGTGCTTATGTTGTATCTTAAAAATAAGCAATAATTCTCAGAAGCATTTGCCATTGGAGTGATCCTACGTGGCAAGAGAAGTTTCAATTTTTTTAGCTTCTGAGCTTCAACAAGGAATGGTGCTTAGCACTATGAAATTTGAAATGGAGAGGTTTGATTGGTTCATCCGGAACTTTGCTGGAACGTGCACAATGGTTTTGCAAACAAAAATCACAGAAGTGGATGACCCTTCCTCATTTCCTCGTCTCCGTCGCACCAACACCAACAACTCTGACTCCACTAAGCACCTCCACCGCCTCGTGTTGTGCGCCACGGACAAGGGCACACTCCTGATGGCACTCTGCCTTCCTCGTGCCCATGGTCCTATCAACTCTAGCGCCACCGCCCTGGCAAGAAGCCGCCCTCAAAGGACCACCACAACAAGGTGGACGGTTGTGGCCGGCTCATTTGCATGCCCATCATTTGCGCCGCCTGCGTCTTCCAGGTCACGCGAGAGCTTGGCCACAAGTCCGACGGCCAGACCATCGAGTGGCTCCTTCGCCAGGCTGAGCCCTCCATCATCGCCGCCACCGGCAATGGCACCACCCCCGCCACCTTCTCCACCGTCTCTGCGGGCGCTAACGAGAAGCCGCTTCATGTGTCGCGTGGGGAATGTAGGGAGTGGTGGTTTGATCCTTGTCATGCCTTTGAGGGAAGAAGGCTTTTCCAGAACCGTGACGGTGATGCTGTCGGAAGAGGTGGAGCTCGCAAAACTAATCAAAGATGAAGTCATATTGGAATTGTAGCCAGCCATGGTTCTTTCTGGTTCTCTCAAAGGAAAAAGTTGATTTTTTTTGTTCAAATCAGAACATGTTTGTGGGAGTCAAAATAATTATTTTATGTTTGTGAGAGATGTTGTGAAAGAGACGTTGAAAAAAAAAAAGAGACGTTGCATTGAGAGTTAAAGAGAGAGACGTTGGAAGAAAAAAAATACGTTGAGACGATGTGTATAAATTGACTTCACTGTTCACTTCAAATTCACTATTCACCTTCACTATTCACTTCAAAAAATTCACTATTTACGTACACTATTCACTTCAAAAAAAAATTCTCCTATTGTATTGTTATTTATCTGCAATTTTTTTTGTGTTCTAACACATGGATCCCAATCAATATAATTTTCAAAGTTATTTTAATTATTTACAAAACTAACCACCACCTCCACCTCCTTCCGGTTAAAATTCTCAAAATCCTCATTTTTTTTTATATACCCACCACCACCTAGGTGTGAGCAGAAGGTTTCAAACCGACCCTAACTGAAACTTTCCATGGTCAGTTTTTTAATTCGGTCCATTATTTTTGGATTTTCCGATTTTGCGGGTTGTTTGACTCGATTTGAAATGGGTTTTGTTGGTCGGGTTCAGGTTAAAATATTTTAACCCTTCGTATCCATACCTGACCGACAGATAACAATTAAAAGGTATGTTATTCCTTATAATTCTAGAGCTAGCACCGCGAGAGTAAAAACTAGAAACCCTAAGCACCACGAAACCTTCTGCTCATGCCCGTAGAAACTAGAAACCTTAACACCGCGAGAGTAGTCATGTGAACCCTAGCACAGTTCATTCATCTCCGTCTGCCACCGGATAATCGTTTTCTTTCCTCTCTGTCTGCTGCCGATCTACTTGTCTTCTTCTAACACCGCTAAGAACAGGTTTGTTCGTCTTCTTCCTCTCCTGTATCATTATTAAATCTTCAATAGTTCATATGGTATTTTTGTTTGCACTGATATTTTCTTTTGTAAGTGACCAATTTGAAGGCGAACTAGTAGTTCTCTTATATTGTTGTGTGTTTCTATATCTGATTCTGCCATAGAACCTAACACAGTTAATGGCAAAGTAGCTTCACCAAGCACGTCAGTCTTGATCAAGAGTTCACAATCCTTCAAATTAAATTGCAAGAGGTAGAAGAAAGAAATATGTTTTGAGTTCTAATTTTTATATTAAAAATAATATATTTATTTGGTATAATTTTTAATCTATATTGAATGTCTACTTTGGATAAACGCAGGAGAGGTAGAAGAAAGAACAAAAGGAAGAAAAGCATAAAAAGAAGATAAAAGTCTTAAATTTAAAAAGATTCAGGTACTTATTGTTTATCATGTTATGATTTTTTTAATAATTGATTTGTGTTTTGTTTTGAAAATTCTTATGGTAGCTATTTGTGTTAAACTTACTTAGTTATAAATATCTGTTTCACTTATTTAGTTAAATTAAAAAATTTGTAGTTTTTTACATTAGTTTATATCTATTTTTTGTATTTTTTTTTTCTTTTTACTAATACTGTATGATATTTTAAATGATGAATTAAAGTTTATAACTCTAAAATAACAAATTCAAAGTTGTTAAAATACCATAAGCACTTAAAAATTGCCTATGACTTCATTATACAGTAATGGAGCAGTCTAGTCAATTCGAAGAGGTTGCAACTCCCACCATGACTGAACCAACAACATCAAGAGGTGATGGTGGTGGTGCACAACCTATTGGACAACCAACAGTTATAGCTGAAGCTGTAGAAACTAATCCTAATGCTTCTCTCCCAATTAATACAAAAAAGAGGAAATTAAATACAAGTGGTTCTCAAAAAACATCTATAGTTTGGGAACATTTCAAAACACTATCTGAAAATGAATCTAAGGAGAAAATGGCTGAATGTAATCATTGTGGTAAACATTATAGGTGTGATCCAAAGATACATGGCACATCAAGTTTACTTAACCACATAGGAAAATATCCTAAATATCCAAATGCTATTATTAATGGCCCCAACCAAACATCCCTTACCTTGAAGAGAGATGTTAGTGGTTTGACAACTGTAAGCCAAAGATATAATGTTGAAGCTTGTAGGAGGGCATTAACTGTCTTTATTATTTTAGATGAACAACCTTTTAGGGTGGTTGATGGTGAGGGTTTTAAGCACTTTTGAAGACAATTACAACCACAATTTATTGTACCATCAAGACATACAATAGCAAGGCTTTGTTTTCAGTTTTATATGGATGAAAAGCGTAAGCTAAAGGCTTTCTTTAAGTCAAATTGTGCTAGGATAGCTCTCACTACTGACTGTTGGACTTCAATTCAAAATTTAAACTATTTGGCACTCACAACACATTTTATAGATAATGATTGGAAATATCAAAACAGAATCATTAGTTTCTCAATAGTTCCTAACCACAAAGGGGAGACCATATGAAAGAAAGTTGAGGAGGTATTAAAGGAATGGAGTTTGAGAAATGTGTCTACAATTACATTTGACAATGCTTCAGCCAATGATGTGGCTGTAACATATTTGAAAAAAAAAGGGATTAATATGGGAGGATTAGTAATGGATGGTCAATTTTTTCATATGAGGTGTTGTGCCCATATACTAAATCTAGTAGTGAATGATGGTTTAAAAGATGTGCACAATTCAATTGCAAGTATTCGGACAGCTGTTAGGTTTGTAAGGTCTTCACCCCAAAGATTGGCTAAGTTCAAAGAGTGTGTTGAATTTTCAAAAATTGAATGTAAAAAATTGTTATGTCTTGATGTTCCCACAACATGGAATTCTACATATATGATGTTAGATGCTGCTGAAAAATTTCAAGTTGCCTTTGAAAAGCTTGACTTTGAAGACTCAAGTTATGTGGAGGTTTTTGGGATAGTTGGTCCCCCAACTACAATTGATTGGGAGAATGTTCGAGCATTTTTGAAATTTTTGAAAATTTTCTATGAGGCCACTAAGGTTTTCTCTACATCATCACATGCCAGCTTACATGTTGCATTTCATCAACTTTTAGAAGCTCTTTAAACCCACAAATGGCAGAGGCACTAATTTGTGCTCAAAATTGGTTGAGGTCAACTATAACCCAATTTAAAGATCTTAATATCAATGAAGAGTTTGAAATTTTAGAAAAGATTGTTACAGGTATCATAATATTCTTTTGCTATGAAAATTATTTAATATTTGTGTTATACATGAGTTAACTATCTTGTTTTTAAATGTATTGTAGAATTTCAAGTAATTTTGGCAAGTGTTAATGAAATTCAAGGAGGAGATGGATCGAGTGTCATAGTTGGTCCATCATCTCAATCACAGCCATTGCTGTGATTGGTCATACTTAAGATGTTTGTAATTTAAATGAACTTTTTTTATATTTTATTTAGTAATTTATGCTTTTTATGTTTCTTGCTAATTTATTTTCTTTTTTTTTTTTAGATTGACCTTTTTGCCATTTTGAAGCTATTTGTTATAGATATGGCTATTGTTGTTCCTTTTGGAGAATTTGTCATAAATGATCCCTATGAAACTTATTTTGCTATCAATGTTATTGTTCACTTGCAACTTGGATCTTTTTTAGGTAACTTTTTAAATAGTTTTTTCTATTGTGTTTTTTAAAATAGCAACAAAATTTTATAAATATGATTTTGCTGATGTGTACATAAATGTCTATTTTTTACAAGTATTTTGCTATTACATTGTTAAATTATCAAAACAATGAAACAGTAAACACTCCACATGATATGGGTAAAATTGAGTTTTCACATGAGTCACTGAATATGCCAACTCAGCAGGTGCAACAAACCGTATCATCTCTTCATTTTGCAGAATCTTCTCCCACCTCCAATTCTAACAAACTCAACAGATCATAGGCGGATAATAGCACAATGGAGCATCACCTAGACTAATTTTTCTGCACGTTTTTTTTTTTTTTTCTATTATAAGTATAGAAAGTTTTAATCATTGTAATCAGCTTTTTTCAAACATCAATGAAATTATCTCTTCTCTTCTTCCTTTTTCTGGTGTTTTATAATTCTTAAGATACATCTTTGTGTACTGATTTTTGTTTTATTGCCTTGCTGATTGGAAGAACCCTTGTGTGTTCTTTTAGTGTATTGATTGTTTTGTATTCAAAATTGACAGGGTAAGAGCTTGTAGATTTACAATCAATTATTAGTTTTGTATTTTGTTTGAGTCTCTCTTGTAAACTTTTGGGTTTTTGATTTATGACAGGGAGTTTTTGATCTTGATGGTCAGTAGTGTAGCTTGTAAACCTTGAAAATGGATGGAAGTTTTCCAACTAGCCTTGGTTCCTGCATGATATATGGTAATGTGTTTGCTCAAAGTTCTGACTTAGGTTTCAGTGTTTTAATATTTCACAATTTCATGGTACATGGTGTTTACTATTATTTCTATCAAATATTCAGGAACAAAGCCGAAGCAGCTGCACTAAACCAAAAGAAAATGGGCATCGATGATGGATCTGTTAGGATGCTCTCCTCACTTCTTGTTACTGCATTATCTGGGTACTTTGTTTTCAAGCTCACTAGTTTGTTATTGCCATTTGCCCCAACAAATTTAAGTTATTAAATACAAGTTTTTTACATCCACAGTAGTTATTTTTCCATATTAACATCATAAATGTGGTTGTAAAGGTTTTATTTCTATGTTTCTCAAATTTAACCATGTAAAAGAGTTGCTGAAGTGACCTTCCCATAAGCATAAACTGTTTATTGCCGATCATGTTGCTTGAAAGTAGAAACTACTGATTATGTCATGTCTCACTGGTTCAGTACTCATGTTGCTCGATTAATCTTTTTGTAGGTGTGTTAACGTGCTCTTGACAAATCCCACATGGGTAGTTGTTACCAGAATGCAGGTAAACTGCTAGTTATCCATCTCTTGTTCTCTCTTTCTTTCTACTTTCATTCCTCTCCCTGCATATCCTAACCCTTGTTTGTCTTGTTTCTTGGTATACACTAAACATTATAGCGAGAATAATTAATGCACATATCTTCTGGAAAATATTCCTTTTCTCCTGAAATTTTAAATTCAAATTTTGTTGCAGGGAATTCTTGTTTTTGCCTCTGTTATGGCTACACTGGGACTGCAAATAATCTTGGATTTTGTTCGCACATTAATATCATTTGTAACTTTATTTTTTGCATTTTTTCTAGAGGCAAAGTTGACACCCAAACTGGTAGAATGATAATTTTTCATTTATTTCCTGTATATCTTTTATTTTTAGATATCTTTAATGTTTTTGAAATATGACATTTCCAGGAAAATGCATTCAACTTGACCAGTGAACAAGAGTGTTGGGTTGTGGGTATTATGCTTTCAATGACTTTGGTGAAATTCCTGTTGATGGTTTATTGCCGCTCTTTTACTAATTGGATTATCAGTCTGTGCCCAGGATCACTTTTTTGATGTGATCACTAATGTCATCAGCCTTATTGCCGCACTTTTGGCAAATGTGTCTCGCATAGCTATGAAAAGCATATGGGGGCCCTTTGGATTGTGGCTCAGAGTTTTTGTTGGATTGATTTCTCTATGCAGAACTAAACGATGTTGCTCTTTGAACGATGAAGGTGATTTGCATGTCTATTCTCCCTAATTAATTTACGATGAATCATGTGATGCATTTCTTGTGATCTTCATGTTTGATTTTTGTTCTTGTATTTGGAATGGACATTGCAGGTTTAACATTGTTGGAATTTCGGGTAAGAATAACTTCTGATCCTTTTGGTGCTCTGGAAAATTGGAATCCAAATGATTGCAACCCTTGCAAGTGGTTTGGTGTTCGTTGTAAGTTCCTTTTGATTTCCTTTTTAAGTTTTCCAGAAAGACGGTATTATTTTTATTTTTAGCAAACACTAATATATATAGATAGCTGTTCTTGATGCTAAAAGGAAGCTCCCATTTTGATTGATGTGAATGTGGTGTTGAATTTTGTCAGCTTATGGGATTTTTTGCCTTCCCGTTATTTCTTGCAGGGTTCTAGACAATCTATCTTTGGAAGGGATGTTGGCTCCTGAGCTTCGGAAAATTAGTCATCTAAAATCCATGTAAGGGTTCTTTTTTAATTCTTATCGATGTTTGTATATTTAACTCGCCACTAGTTTATACTTGATCTTTTTAATTTTTACATGCTTTACTTATGTCTCCAGCAGCTAGCTTTGTATACCATTTACACATGGTTAATGATAGTGTTGGAAAATGTGAATTCCCTGGTTGGAAGATTGACAGTGCCAGAGTATCTTCAGAAAATGTGAATTCCCTTACAAGAGGCTTAGAGAATGATTATATTTGCTTGTTTTATGATGAATTATCATCCTAGATTTGAAAGATTATGGACAAACCTTAAAAGTAGTAAGACAATGTATATGTATGTGATTTGTTGTTATCTTTTTTTTTTTTTTTTTTTTATTGATTTGCATTTAAATTTAGTAATAATTATTATAAAAAAATGCCTTAAAATTGATATAATTATACTTACAAAAATTTAAATGTGATTTATTTATTTACTTTTTTTTGTAATATATTTATTAAGTATTGAAGTCTATAGAAAAGGCCTATAATTCCTTTATAAAAAAAAAGTCCCATAATCCCCTAAAATAAGGCCAACCTCACTGGTTTAAATAGTTGAGAATAAAAGAGAGAAAAAAATTTAGATCCAGCCCAAATTAATTAAATAGTTGTTTAGATTTTGAAACAAATAACAAATAAAATTATTGGGCCCAATATGGCTCAATCCGACTAAACCGATCCAGTTAATCCGAGACCCGACAAGCCCAAATTTGATAAACTTGAAACACTGTTATGGTCGAAAATGGGCAAATTTTTTTTGGGTCGATTTGGATTGGGCTAAATATTTTTGGCCCGAACCCGTCCGAACTTGCCCCGTGCTCAGGCATGTCGCAACCCAAATTTTTCCGATCTCGCGACTAATGGTTTAGACATCCTTTTAAAAGTCTCATCAATTAAGGAATGCCCGGACACCAGACTAATCCTTAATTAATGGTTTTGAAAAATGAGTTCATGGAGTCGCCACCAATGTTTTACTCAAAACATTGGAAAAAGAAAAAGTTTTTAAAAAATCCAATAATGGCCTTGATAACCAGAATTGGGTTCGGGGGTGGGTTACATGTAGGGAATGTATTAAGCACCCCTACAGCGCCCTTAATTGGTACCCTATGGTGAAGTTAGCATTATAAATGATAATAATATAAATATTAAATCCCCTTTTATTAATAATTATTTACATGCTTGAAATTTAAATTATACAATTAACCCTAAAATGTCTACATGATTATTTTTATTATAACAATATTTATTATAGATAAGAAATAAAAAAAGAGAAAGAGTTTAATTGAAATACCTCTTGAATGAGCTCTATTAAATCTTCAAAATAGGAAGATTTTAGGTGCTTTGCGGCAACCTTTTACACTACAATGCCTCACAAAATCTCATGAAATACAAAAGAGAGAGAGAGAAAAAGAGAAAAATTTCGTGCTCTAAAGAGTCTGGACGAAATTTTGGAGTCATTAGAACTGTGCCCAAGTTGTCTATTTATAGGCATCAGAAAGGGTCCAGAATGGCCCACTCCAAAATTGGAACGGCCCGTTCTGGATCTGGCCGTTATATGTTAATTTCGTAACTGGAACGACCCGTTCTGAAACTGGAACAGCCGTTCCAAAAAAGGGTTTATAGGCATTTTTCATAACTTGGAATGGCCCGTTCCAGTTTAGGAACGGCTCGTTTCAGTGAAGGTTTTAACCCTTTTTTTAGGAGATTGGAATGGCCCGTTCCAATCTTGGAACGACCCGTTCCAACCTACAATTTTTAGGCCTTTTAGGAGCCTCAGAACGACCCGTTCTGGACTTGGGAACGGCCCGTTCCGGGCCACTAAAAATAGTTGATTTGGGCTTTTGGGCCCTCTGATGTCCTATCTTGTTGATTGTATGCCCCCGGACGAAATTGGGTGTTTATAGCTGCCCCTCTTTACTTGTCCTTTGGAATAGTTGTGTTCCTTTTCCAAAGGAAAGTAAAGACGTAGACATTTCGTCCAGGTCTTATTCTCGTCTCTGTGTTGATGCTTCTACGTTGCTTCCCTTGGATAGGTGTATTTGATCGTATCCTCACCCTTTAGAGCAGTTGCGTACTCTATTGGGTAACAAGGCTGACAAACTGTACACCTGATCTTCAGTCTTCGAGTAGAAGCTTCATTGTCTCTCTTGTGATAATGTGTTCCTTTATTTGTAGCTTGTTGAAGAGGGAGTATTTTTGTAGCTCAGCCTCTCCAAGCTAGACTGATATTTAGGGCTTCAGCCGGCCCATTATAAGGTCAGATAACCCTCTTTGTTTGTTGAAGTAGTTTCGTAGCTCAGCCTCTTCAGGCTGGACTGATATTTTAAGGCTTCAGCCGGCCCACTCTAAGGTCAGGTAACCCTCTTTGTTGTTGAAGTAGTTTCGTAGCTCAGCCACTCCAAGCTAGACTGATATTTTAAGGCTTCAGTCGGCCTCACTCTAAGGTCAGGTAACCCTCTTTGTTGTTGAAGTAGTTTCGTAGCTCAGCCTCTCCAAGCTAGACTGATATTTTAAGGCTTCAGTCAGCCTCCTCTAAGGTCAGGTAACCCTCTTTGTTGTTGAAGTAGTTTCGTAGCTCAACCTCTCCTAGCTGGACTGATATTTTAAGGCTTCAGCCGGCCTCCTCTAAGGTCAGGTAACCCTCTTTGTTGTTGAAGTAGTTTCGTAGCTCAGCCTCTCCAAGTTGGACTGATATTTTAAGGCTTCAACCGGCCTCCTCTAAGGTCAGGTAACCTTCTTTTATCTTGTACTAGTTTTGGGGATCTAGCAACCCTTTCCGTGCTTGTACTTGATGTCTTCTTGTTGGTGTTGTGAGATGAAAGACTGCCCCAGGTGGATGGGAAGGAGATGTTTGATGTGCCCTTGTGTTGGTGGGCAACGAAGTGGATGGCTGGCAGAGATTTCAATGTTGCCCTTGCCACTTGAGTATTGTGATGCCTCTCCAGGCGCCTGCTTGTGGTAGGTTTCTTTTTTTTGAATTTCCTTTTTGTTTAGCTTCGGGTTTTTCATATTTGAAGCTTGCCTTTTTTTCGGCTATTTTTTAAATGTTTCGGCTTTTTCAACATGTACGAAGCTTGCCTCTTTTTTGTTGTCTATGGCTGGTCATTGTAAGGGATTTACTTGACCCTGTCTGGTCTCTGTTGTGAGGGAAGAGTTTTGCCCCTTCACACGTGGCTCCCTTCTTGATTGCTTTCTTTAGAGATTTTATTCATGATGCATGCATGGATTGAAAATGTTTGCAGCCTACTGTCCTTTTGGATAATTCCCTTTTGATGTGAAAAGTTATTTATTTCAAGTGCGCGCTTTTCTGTATGTCATACATATGCGTTTAAGCTTTTTAGAAATCTATTGGTATCAGGTGGCTTCCCTTTACCCCTTTAGTTTTTTTTTTTGACTGAAGATTCGCACATGACTTTTGCTTACTTTAGAGGCCCGTATAGGATTTCCTCGTCTATTTAATTGTTTTTTTACTAGGTTGTTTTGATTTTTCTCTTTAATACCAAAACACATCATTTAAAGATAAAGGTTGAAAGAATTGAGAAGAATGGTATTTTATTGCAAATCAGAAAATTTCAAGGAGGGTTACAAGAGGTTTGGAAAAAACTGACTGAGGTTGGCCGGTGTCTGGGCTTGAGCGATCATGAATTTAAGAAACGAAGCTTGGCATCCTCCTAGTCGTCTGATAAGCACCGCTTCAAGTAATTTCTTGACTTCTATAGAAGGTGATATGGCTTCTAGGTTGACTGTTCGTCTTGCTTTAACGCCTTTTTTTTTTTGGGGCTTAAGCATAGAACTTCTTCATGGCATCAGAGTTTACTGGGTAAGCGAGTTCTTCACCATCCATGTTAGTGAGGATCAATGCTCCTCCAAAAAAGGCTCGCTTGACCACGTATGGGCCTTCATAGTTTGGTGCCCATTTCCCTATCTTATCCTTCTGTGCTGGTAGAAGTTTCCTGAGTACTAGATCCCCATCTTCAAATGGTCGTGGTTGGACTCTCTTGTCGAAGGCTCTCTTGATTCTCCTTTGATATGTTTGCCCGTGACAAATGGCGTCTAACCTTTTCTCTTCTATGAGATTTAATTGGTCAAATCTGGTTCGAACCCATTCGATTTCTGGGAGCTTTGCCTCCATGAGTAATCTCAAAGAAGGAATGTCCACTTCAATAGGCAAGACTGCCTCCATCCCGTATACTAAGGAAAAAGGGGTGGCGCCCGTCGATGTGCGAACGGATTTTCTGTATCCATGTAATGCGTAAGGTAGCATCTCATGCCAATCTTTATATGTAACAACCATTTTTTGAATGATCTTCTTGATATTCTTGTTGGCTGCCTCAACTACCCCCTTCATTTTTGGCCTATAAGGGGAGGAGTTATGATGTTGAATCTTGAAAGAGTCACATAATTCAGTCATTATCTTGTTGTTGAGGTTTGACCCATTGTCTGTTATAATTTTTTCAGGTATTCCATAACAACATATTATGTTTTTCCTGAAAAAATTGACTACCACTTTACGGGTTACATGTGCGTATGATGTGGCTTCAACCCATTTGGTGAAGTAATCAACAGCCACAAGAATGAATCTATGTCCATTTGAGGCCTTGGGTTCAATGGGTCTAATGACGTCCATGCCCCACATCGAGAAAGGCCAGGGCGAGGCCATTACATTGAGCTCACTTGGTAGGACTTGGATATTATCAGCGTATATTTGGCATTTGTGGCACTTCCTAGCATACGAGATGCAATCCTTCTCCATAGTGGACCAAAAGTATCCTGCCCTCATGATCTTTCTGGCCATGACCTGTCCAGCTATATGGGTACCGAAGGTTCCTTCGTGGACTTCCTTCATTAACGATCGAGACTCCTTCTGACCAATACATCTTAACAGGATGGAATCAAAACTCTTCTTGTACAAGATGTTCTCATGTAGTACGAATCCGATAGCCCTTCGTCTGATTGTTTTCTTGTCGTTGTCAGATGCCCCGACTGGGTATTTCCCTTCTTTGATGTATTGATGGATGTCAAAATACCAAGGATGGCCATCTTCCTTTTCCTCCAGTGTGCAACAATGAGCTTGTGTCTCATGTCGTCTGATTCTGATGACCGGTATTTCACATCCCTCTTTTATAGCAAACATGGATGATAGTGTGGCCAGCGCATCTGCTAACTGATTCCCCTCTCTCGGGGTATGCTCAAAGTTAATGGATTCAAATTGAGACATCAGATCCTGAATGTATGCTCGATAGGGGATTAATTTGTAGTCCTTTGTTTCCCATTCATCTCGTAGCTGGTATATCACCAAAGCTGAATCGCCGTAGA